TTTCAAGGCGTTTGTATGGCAAAGCGACATCGAATTATTGCTCCGTGACTATCGGTATGGGGCAGGATAGGGTTGATTCAACTCAACTACAAAAAATCGACTTTTGACGATGAAGTAAATTTGCACTGCATAAAAGTATGTTTTTCTTTCTTAAACGAATATCTCACGTCGTATACGTTTATACAAATTTGAACAATACCAGGCTCATATACTGATCTAGTTGTGCAGTTAATAGATCGGCTTTTCTTTTGTCCCTTATGAAGATACAAGGTATTCGCGGTCTTAATTTCGCATGTGAAGTTGTTTAGAGAAGTACGATTTAACCTCCAGAAGGTTAAATGATAGTTACTCAACAATGAATTATGATTTCGAAATGGACATTTGTGTATCGGCTATATGAAGGGTTGAAAAATCCGTCACTCAAATTTGAAAGAAATCCGTTAAATTCTTAGCGAGCTATAACCTCCGAGACGTTGTCTCCCTTATGGCAAGGAGGTGACGTCCCAACCTTACGTTTTATGGACGATTCTAGGACTGCGCATCTCACAGAAGTGCGCTTTCATTCATAAAACGAGAAGGATCTTGTATATCGGGACAAAACTCTCACAATACCAGGCTGATGTAGTGCTCTAACCGTAGTGCTGCTCTTTGTCTATCTCTTATAAAGATACAAGGTACTCACTATATATCTTCAATTAAGATTAATTTGCTAGCGAAGTTAATCTGGAGAAGCTTTGATGATAGTTACTAGTACCTCGAAAATGAATTATGATATCGGCATGGAAATTTGGGTATATGGACTAGGAGAGCATTGAAAAATTAGTCACTCAAATTTGAAAGAAATGCGTTTAATTCTTTGCGAACTTCAACTCAGCTAGACGTTTTTGCAAGAAGGCGTCAGTAGTAATATGACGGTCGGAGAGGTCTCATAATCCGGGCGGCTCCGGGCGGCTCCGTTGGCGCCGCCCTTATTAGCATAATAGTGTTTATAGATGCATATATGCATAGGTATATGTATACATGTATATTTATTGCTATATCTATGATTATATATATATTTATGTATATATATATTTATGTATATGTATAATATATATATATATATTCATAACTATATTTATATTTATGTCTGTGTATGATTATTATGTATGCGTGTGTCTCAATATATCTATCTATATTATGTTTATATTTCTATCTATCTATCTATCTATCTATCTATCCATCTATCTATCTATCTATCTATCTATCTATATCTATATATCTATTTATCTATCTATATCTATCAATCTCTCTCTATATATATATAATATACGTGATGCTCCGGAGTACAATATTACTCCGGAGTAAGTATTACTCAGTGTTGGAGTAAAATATTTACTCCGGAGTAAGTATTACTCAGTGTTGGAGTAAAATGTTTACTCCGGAGTAACTATTACTCCGTTTTGGAGTAGTCTTTTTTTTACTCCGGAGTATGTGTATTTGTAGCGAGTAAGTATATTTGTCAACGTTGTCTGAATCGTGTATGTATATATATTATATCGTATGTGCATATACATGAACTTCGGAGTAAATGTATGATTACTCCGGAGTAAGTGTACGTAAGTTACGTATGTGTGTGCGTATCATGCGTGCATGTATACACCGACACAATGACGCAAAAGACAGTTATAGTTTCGTCACACTTTATTGATCTCTTGTGGTTCAAGAGTATACCGAGAAACTTACAAGCCAGCGTACGTCTCGTCTTACAGCTATAGGTATCGCTGTTACCTTTAGGAAAAGTTGTACTGTCGGTGGTAGGACGACACTGACAGTGTGAATATATATATTTTTTTTTCTATGTCGTGCATTTGCGGGAATAGGGTTGTCATGTTTGTAGAACTTTTTTTTTTAAAACTCTGAACAGGTACAGTACCAGGCATGTTTATCAAATGTATATCTCATCGCTTTCTACGCATTTGTGTCGGTAAGATCTTCTTGTGCCACTAAGATCGCGCACCCTCCTTGTTTGATAGCGGAGATGTTTGCCTTGTGCTGACCGATATTTGTTCCTCTCCACAAGAGAATTATTCATGAGGTCTTTAACAACAAAGGCGACCCGGCCTGAAACCTTCTTGCCCGGACCAAACACCAGCGACCTCTAATACTCCGACTTCTAGTTAGGAGATGGAGGATTTCCGACTTTTAGTTTGATGCTTTTGAGAAGATTTCAAGACTATATTCCATGCGGGCAACACACAAGGTTAAACCCCTTGCCAACAATCGTCATCATACGACATCATATGAAGATACAGAATCTCAGCACTGTACGCGGGTGGGGGGAATATGTTCATTGATCGAGGGAAAAGCGACGTCATCAATTGTTTGTATCAGAACCTGTCCAGACTTGCCACCAGTGTCCTAGAGCCCTATAAAGGACGAACAGCGAAGACGAGAATTCAGTTCGTTGGTAGCTGCGGGACTGCAAGGATCGCCACCTCTCTGTCCAGTGACCAACACTTCAGCAAGTCGGATAGTCGTCAAACTGGTGAGTCTTTCATCGTCTGTCTTTTCCCCATCAATGTCTTTGGAGACCGGGCGATAACGTTTGTAGGGTGGTAGATAATCTTTGGAATGTTTTATCGTTTTTGTACTGACTAAAAGACCTGGAGTTTTATAATTGCACATATGTCTGACTTACGGAAGGGAGAAGTTTGGTATGCGGACTAACAGTATTTTCTCGTCTACTTGTCAAACATATCTTCGTCAACACAAAGTTGGGAGACCGAGTGTTGACCATCGCGCCTTATACTGGGCGTTAGTCGCTCCATGAGAGAAAAGTGTTATGCAGTATTTGTCCTTTTGAACCGAACCCCTTTGTTAATGTTCGACCAAAGCAAAATAATGTAGAAGCCGGTTCGCAACGAGTTGCTGGTTAGATGGTTTCGTGGATTAAAGATGAAAACAGAAGAAACCACACTGTTATATACATATTTCATACGTAGATGCCGTCCTTTGGTAACATGGTATTTGTACATTGGTTTTGTCGGGTGTCTTGCAGAGTCTGTAGGCCTATTGTGTACTGACATTGCGCGCTCCATGGTTACCGTATACATATGTATAGGAATTTATTCCGGAGGGTGTCCGTATGCAGGGAGTTGTTTGGGTTTGGGTGCCCTGTCAATACTCTTGTACCGCCGATTTATCATTCTACCTGCTATTTTGTAGTATGCAAGAAAAAAATGCACCATACGAATAGTCACGTCCCAAGTTCAAGTGAAAGATCATTTATTCTATGTTTCAGTATAACCATGGCGTTCCAATGCGGCCAGTGTGGAAAAGAGTTCAAACATAGACAGTCTTTTAACCGTCACAAGAAAGCGGCACATGCCGCGTCACCCACGCACCGCTGCGAGACTTGTGATCAAAACTTTATCCGGCTCCACGACTTAAAACGACACCAACAGCAGAAGCACACATCTGCCGCACCCCAGCATGAATGCGATTTCTGCGGGAAAAAGTTTCCTAGGGCGGACAAGTTGCGAGAACACAAACGAACACATGACAAACAGCCGACGAGACTAACGTTCCACTGTCGTTTGTGTAACACACCCTTCAACACGGTAGGAGAACTGCAGCGTCATAGGGAAGAGACACACCCTGAAGACGTACCGTCCACCTCCCGAGGTCACAAGAGGAAACCTTCGGCTAACGCCGACAAAAGTTCACCGAAACGGTCCAGAAAAGTGCAGCCCCTGTCACCAAACGACCTGTTTCCCGTGCAGGAAGACCCGTTGGACAAACCAGAGGACTTGGCTTTAGAGGACGAAGACCCAGCCTTGGAACAGTTGTACAAGAAGAAATGGTCAAACATCCGTACACACTTTGAGAGGAAATCGGTCCATGATATGTATAATTTTAGAATAAACTCTGTCAACGTGGACGACCTGACAGACAAGGTGTGGGCTATCTTCCGGGACCAAAAGACGTCGTTCAAAATCAACCTGTCGTACGGGTTCGTCCTGCGTAATAACGAAGGTGAACTGCGTTATTACTACCCCTGCGAGAACAACCACACCTTCCTGGAGAAACCGGTGATAGTCGATACCGAGGAAGACCTGCAAAGATTCCTAGACCAAATAGCCAACAAGGACATCCTCGAGTATTGCCGACAGCAGCGTCCCGACTCTAAATGGATCGTGCACACCATTCCCCATGTAGAGTTTTATATCAGCAAACTGGGAAATCATCCCATCGGCGCACCCAAGACCCTCCCCGCGTACATCGTCCACAACAAAGCCATCGTCGCCCTTCAAAGCGGAATGCACGGACCGTTTGACGACAACCTGTGCTTCTTCCGCTGTCTTGCATCACACTACGGCAAGGATCCAAAATCACTGGAGACGGCGACCAAAGACCTCTTCAGGCAATACCTGGAGGCAGCGGACCTGACCGAGAAAGACTTCTACGGGGTGTCCCTAGAAGACCTGGCTGACATAGAGAAACTGTTTCAAGTCGACATCTACGTCTACTCGCTTCGAATCAGTGATCAGGAAGACGAGGGAGACGACGCACCGTTTGCCGAACTAGTCAGGCGACCCCTCACTCGCTACAAGAACACCATGTACCTGAACCTTTACGAGGACCACTTCAGCTACATTAAGGACTTTAAAAAGTATGCCAAGTCATATGGCTGTCCCTCGTGCGGGAGGAAATTCAAGCGCGCTTACCACTTGAAAACTCACCAGGCAAATTGCATCGGGGCAATACAGCACGACTACCCTGGCGGGGCGTACAACGGCAGGCAAACCGTCTTTGAACAGCTGGACGACGTCGGCATCCACGTGGATCCAGAGGATCGATATTACCCTTACCGTGCGACGTACGACATCGAGTGCTACTTTAAACCGCTGTCTGATCAAAACACGGACAAGATGACGTGGGTGGCCGTACACGAACTGATGAGCGTCAGTGTCTGCTCCAACGTACCAGGGTTCATGACGCCTAAATGCTTCGTCTCCGAGGGTGATCCGGCCGCTGTTGCTGACAAGATGTTGGAGTATCTACAGGAGATGAGTGAGGCGGCCTACGAAGATTTGACAGAACATTTTGCCGACGTTTTTGAACAGATAAACTCGTTGTACCCGGATGATGATGATGGCTTCACGACGTCTCAACCGGACAAACAAGACGTCGTTATATCGAAAGGAGGAGACGAAGAAGGTGACTGTGAGTTGTCAGAAGAAGAAGAAGACGGATCCTCCGTAACGTCACGAGAAAACGACTATGATTCCACGACGACAGAAGAAGACGAAGATGGGAAGGGTGAAGAAAAACAGCAAGAAGGGACAGCTTGGATCGGGAAGTTGCTCGGTCGGCTGCACCACCACCTGCGTCAGTTACCCGTCATCGGTTTCAACTCTGGGAAGTACGATGTGAACGCCATGAAGAAAGTATTCCTCCCCCTCCTGCACACACAACAGGAGAACCTGCGGCCCATCAAGAAGGACAACAACTTCATGTCCATCGAGACGGATCATCTCAAGTTCCTGGATCTGATCAACTATGTGGCGCCCGGGTTCTCCTACTCCCACCTTCTCAAGGCGTACGAGTGCCGGGAGACGAAAGGTTTCTTTCCGTAAGTTCATTATTAGTATTGAAAATGCTATATATTCTTCATGTTGTTTGTGCGTTGTTTCTTTATGCGTGTGTATCACATTGACTTCAATAACACTATGTGTTGTTAACTCGTGTTGCTTTTTTTTTCCTTACAGGTACGAATGGATGGACGACCTGAATAAGTTGGAGCAGACAAGCCTTCCACCTGCCGACGCCTTCTACAGCAAGTTAGACGGGACACACATTTCTCCAGAGGACTACGTCTCCTGTCAGAAGGTATGGGAAGAACGCGGCATGAAGACCATGAAGGACTTTCTGATATGGTAGGTGTACATTGTGTGTGTCTTATTGTGGTCTTACATGAGGTTTGCTCCTTATTTAAGGATCCATATGCATGGACGTTCGTACACAGAATAATGACTGTTGTTTCCTCTCAATTCTTGTAGGTACAATAACAAAGACGTCGTCCCCATGCTGGAGGCGATCCAGAAGATGGTCGACTTCTACAGAGACCTGGGGATAGACATGCTGAAGGACGGCATCAGCGTCCCCGGCCTGACACTCAAGTATCTATTTATGAACTTAGAGTCTGACACATATTTTACACTAGTAGACAAGGAAGATGTGTACAAGTTGTTCAAAGAAAACATTGTAGGAGGGCCGAGCATCATCTTCCACAGATATCACCAGAAGGGTGAGACGTTTATCCGTCAAAAAGTAATGGAACATAGTGGTAGACAACCGAAGCTATGTCAGAAGGTGATTGGTTTCGATGCCAACGCCTTGTACCTATGGTCGTTAATGCAAAATATGCCGACGGGGTATTACATTCGGCGGAAGGCAGAGACCGAGTTCGTGAAGGATTATTCCGCTCCTTCTCGTGGCCGTATGGCTACAGAATGGTTAGACTGGGTAGCCCACAGCCGTGACATCGTCATCCGTAACAAATTCAACAGTACCGAAAAACGTATCGGTCATCGCCAAGTACCCGTGGACGGCTTCTGCTCCGCTACCGCGGAAATTTTCCAGTTCCACGGGTGTTTCTGGCACGGTCACGACTGCTGTCTGACTGAGGGTCTTGATTTCAACCCAGTACGACAGGAGTCTATGCCCAACATACGCGAAGTTACAAAAGAAATGACCGAATATTTGCGGGGGGAAGGGTACAATGTGATTGAAATGTGGGAGTGTCAATGGCAAGACCTAAAGAGGACAAAGGAGGTCTCTGCCTTTTTGACCAAACGAAAGACTCCTACCGAAAACAGGTACAAAATGTCCGAAACGGAAATCCTCCAGGCTGTCCGTGAAGATGAATTGTTCGGTGTAGTCGAGTGCGACATCCAAGTCCCTGCACATCTCAGGGCACATTTTTCAGAGATGCCTCCAATCTTTAAGAACTGTGATATTAACATCGACGACATCGGACCCTCCATGAAACAGTACGCCGAGACACATGGCATCATGTCAAAACCTAGGCGATCGCTGATCGGCAGTATGTTTGGTCAAAAGATTCTACTTGCGACACCTTTGCTGAAATGGTATCTGAATCACGGTTTGGAGGTGACCCATGTCTATCAGGTACTTGAGTACATCCCCAGGAAGTGTTTTGAACCTTTTGGCCAAAAAGTCAGTGATGCTCGTCGTGACGGCGATAAAGACGACAAGAAGAAAATCATCGCCGAAACGATGAAACTCATTGGCAACAGCGCTTATGGCAAGACGGTCACGAACAAAGAGAAACAATCTGACGTTTGTTACTGCGACAGTGCCGTCGGCGCAACTCAAAAGATCAATGCTCCCTGTTTCAAGAAGATTTCCGAGGTAGTCGATGGTTTCTACGAAATCGAAACGGGCAAGCGCAAGATCAAATTCGACTTGCCACTTCAAATTGGGTTCTTCGTCTACCAGTATGCGAAATTGCGTATGCTGCAGTTTTATTTTGACTTTATGCTCGAGTTTGTGGACATCTCTGATTTCCAATATTGCGAGATGGACACAGACTCGGCCTACATTGCCATCTCTGCGGACAGGCTGGAGGACGTCATCAAACCCCACATGAGGGCGAGGTATGAAAACGAGAAACACCTCTGGTTCCCCCGCACTGACAACCCCGAACACGCGGCTTACGACAAACGCACCCCCGGTCTGTTCAAGGAAGAATGGTCCGGGGATGCGATTGTGGGGTTGTGTTCTAAAACTTATTATTGCTTTGGTGGGGACGACAAAACCCAAGACAAATTCAGTTGTAAGGGGGTAAGCAAAAGACAGAATGACATCACTCTCCAAAAGTACCTGCAAGTCTTGGAGACTCAGAAAAGCGGTCAGGGCGTGAACCGGGGTTTCCGTGTCAGGAACAATCAAATGTTGACTTATACACAGACACGGGACGCGTTTTCCTACTTTTATCCAAAACGTCAAGTTCAGGATGACGGTGTCACAACCCTGCCCTTAGATATCTAGTGTATTCATGTGTAATTCAATACGTATCTATATGTCTGTGCATTGCTGTCATGTCTACATATGCAAGTAAATGATATGTCGTACATAAAGCTACAACCAGGCAGTTGTTTCTTGATGATCTGCGGACACTGAACTGTGGATACATATTCATTTGCAACATGTTGCAAGATGTCTATTTGCCAATGTACATATTTCGTTCGTTATGAAATAAAATCTCAACATGATGTCACACGATGTTTGTCGTTTCTTTTCCTTCACAGTAGCGTGAAGCAGTTGCGTGCATGAACAGTTTAGGTTTAGGTACGCAGAAAGACGATGAAAAAAAAAAGAAAAAAAAAGATGCACACTTTCGTAAGATAACCACAACCCGAAACATTCGTATGGCATTTGTATACAAGCACATTGACAATCGATATGGCCATGTATGAACAGATATGGACCGAGAGTCTCTCACTTTGCATACACAACACATGCCATCAAATATATCAATAATCAAAGATGTTGATATCGTGAGTCATAATTTGCATACGTGGTATATCTTCGTGAGCGCGTGCACATCGCCTCATTTCTCAGTTGTACACGGATGAGAGAGGAAGCATGTCTTTCGTCTGCGAGGTATGTGACAAAGAGTTTGCTCGTAAGTTCAACCTTGATCGTCATCAAGAAACCAAACACCGAGACGAGTCAGCTGTGACCTCGGAGGAAGTCGTCGTAGACCCCGAGACGGGATCTTGCCGAAAGCGGGATGTTTTTGACGACGACTCCGACATGTCTCATGACCATGAGACGGACGCACTTGATTCATCGCCCGACAAGGAAGATGAAGAAGACACCGATGACGAAGATGAGGCCTCAGTCATGTCGGAAGATGAAGTGACCGTCTCAGACGAAGATGAGTCTGTTGTGGACTCTGAGGAGGCAGATTCAACGACAGAAACCGACAGCGATCAGAGTGATTCAGAGAGTGACGCAAGCTCGGACGTATCTTCCGACCCGGCTTCACCCGATGACAATGAAGAGTACGGCTACGACAGCGGTGACGAGGAAGAAGAGTGGACGCTCTTTCGAGACTGGACCATTCGACTCACTCAAGAACCAGGCGATGTCCCTCAACGCGTGATCAAAGAGACAAAACGCGCTGGCAAAAAGATTTATCTTGTAGAGTTTGCCGCCTTGCCTCGTTACGGTTATAACATCGAATACAGCAAGAACTGGGTCCCAGAACAGACACTGATGAAAAAATATGGCTACCTCGTCCTGAAATAATGCAACATCGTCCTCCTGCCTATACAACGTACACGAACGTCCGAACGCTGCCTTTTGCGTTTGTTTCTCAATACAGCACGGCGACAATTGAGAAATAAAGTGTGGCAAAACTATGACTGTCTTTGCGTCGTTGTGTCGGTGTATGCACGAATGATACGCACACGTACGTGACTAACAACACTCTTACTCCGGTGTAATCATTTACTCCGAAGGTTACGTATATGCACATACGGCATATCTGCACATGATACCTTTGACGGACCACCATGGCAAATATACTTACTTGCTACCAATACACTTACTCCGGAGTAAACATTATACTCCAAAACGGAGTAATACTTACTCCGGAGTAAACATTTTACTCCAACACTGAGTAATACTTACTCCGGAGTAAACATTTTACTCCAACACTGAGTAATACTTACTCCGGAGTAAATATTTTACTCCAACACTGAGTAATACTTACTCCGGAGTAATATTGTACTCCGGAGCATCACGTATATTATATATATAGAGAGAGAGATTGATAGATATAGATAGATAAATAGATATATAGATATAGATAGATAGATAGATAGATAGATAGATAGATAGATGGATAGATAGATAGATAGAAATATAAACATAATATAGATAGATATATTGAGACACACGCATACATAATAATCATACACAGACATAAATATAAATATAGTTATGAATATATATATATATATATTATACATATACATAAATATATATATACATAAATATATATATAATCATAGATATAGCAATAAATATACATGTATACATATACCTATGCATATATGCATCTATAAACACTATTATGCTAATAAGGGCGGCGCCAACGGAGCCGCCCGGAGCCGCCCGGATTATGAGACCTCTCCGACCGTCATATTACTACTGGCGTCGTCCCAACATTTTGTTTCTCATAGACGATCCCAGGCCCGCATCCCACACAGTGCGCTTTCCTTCATAAATTGATAAGGATTTTGTATATCCGGACAAAACTTACACAATACCTGGCTGATATACTGATCTGGCTGTGTTGTTAATAGATTTTCTCTCATTCATCCTTTGTGAAAATATAGAGCGTCCAAGTGTCTTGTCTAGTGAGGCGAACATGTAGGGCCAAGGTCGTCGATACCTACAACATTTCAGAGCCACATAGATCACGTAAAAATCAACACAGGTACACCATATATTGAACCTGGATAGCCTACGATACTATGTGACTTTAAACACAGTAACTTCGACCGTATCCCAAACCGTTCCTTAATAATTAGACGAAAACCCGTTAGAACGTGCCCTAGCGGTTTTTGTAAAAAGTGCAGCAATTAGATATTTGGGAAGATTTCAGGCAATTTTTGAAAAAAATTGACCAATAATCACGTAAGACGCTCATCTTTGGTTAATCTTGCCATGTCCATCTTTTATATTAGTAGTAACACTTTAAAAATAAATGTAGGTATCCTTGCGAGATGTGGGTAAACTGCAGCAAATCAACATTTCTTTTTAAGAGACTGTGCAAGGGGGCCCCAGCCCAGAAGAGAACAAGAAATAGCCATGCCTTCAAATACCAGAGTTATCAACCAAGGATTGAGGTATTCAAGAATTCATTCTTTCCTAGATATTGCAGAGTGGAACCAAATACAGTAGCTATAGGGGCATTGTCACTAGCTAGCTTTAAACATAGTCTAGAGTTAGATATAGATGCTCAAGGGTTAGGTGTAACAAGTCGATCGGTGTAATGTAGCCAGCTGCCGCCGCGCCGCGTGCCTGCGA